TAAGCTAATTTCTAGAAGGGGGATTGGCAATAAATAAATATATAATACAGGGTCCGGTGGTATACAGGCTATGAAGAAAATTAAAGCAGAGAAAGGAGACAGCATGTGGAGAAGGCTGATCTTTTAGGTAGAAGGACCAGAAAAGACCTTTCTGAGCACGTGGCATTTGAGCAGGGATGTGAATGCAGTAAATAAGTGAGCCATGACAAAAGAACCTTCCAGACAGAACAGCAAGCCCAAATCTTTAAGGAGAGTGTGTTTGAGAAACAGTGAGGAGACCCAGGTATGGCCATGTAGAGTTTTGGAGAATGAATGAATGAGCTCTTGTGGTTTTTTCCCTCAGTACTCTGTAGGCTATGATGACTATATGTCTCATATTTCCCAGAAGATTCTCAATATTATAAACTTATTCTTTTTAAATGATTCATTGAAATTGTAACAAAATCTGATTTGATATATATACTCTTTTTTTTTTTTCAGACAGAGTCTCACTTTGTTGCCCAGGCTACAGTGAGTGCCATGGTGTCAGCTTAGCTCACAGCAACCTCAAACTCCTGGGCGCAAGCAATCCTTCTGCCTCAGCCTCCTGAGTAGCTGGGACTACAGGCATATGCCCCCATGCCCGGCTAAGTTTTTCTATACATATTAGTTGGCCAATTAATTTCTTTCTATTTATAGTAGAGACAGGATCTCGCTCTTGCTCAGGTTGGTTTCGAACTCCTGAGCTTAAACGATCCACCCCCCTCGGCCTCCCAGAGAGCTGGGATTACAGGTGTGAGCCACTGCACCCAGCCTATATACACTCTTAAAATATTTTTCCTAATAAATATAGATTTGCACATCAGAAAGAATGTCCTTTGTCATCTGTCTCAATTTGAGTTTCTTAAAATAAGTGTGTAAAAGTTTGATCTTTGACTTCAGCTCCCTCTCTCCAGTTCTTGGCAATCCTGTGGTGTAAGAGGATTGAGGTCAAGTCAAAATAGACAGATATTTCAACTAGCCAAAAGAAAAATCTACAAATTAGTTGAATTCCCCAAATTTAGATAGATTCAATGTCAACCAAAAAGAGGGCTTTAGGGGAGTGAAACATTGTCTTGGAGAAAATTCTATTGCATGTACCTTGGCAACAGCTCCATAGAAACAGACTGAAGTCTAATAAAGTCTATAGCTGTGGACCACTGCCGGTCTGTGGCCTGTTGGGGGCCGGGCCCCGTGGCGGGAGGTGGGCAGGCAGGTGGGAGAGGCAGGCTTCATCTGTGTTTGTTCCCCATCACTCACAGGACCATGTGGGCTCCATCTCCTGTCTGATCAGTGGAGGCATTGGATTCCCATAGGAGGAGAACCCTACTGAGGGATCTAGGTTAGAGAGTCTGGTACCTGAGGATCTGGGATGGAGCTACGTCAGTGGTGCTGGCATTGGGGAACGGCTGCAAGTGCAGATTGTGATTGGCAGATAGGTTCGACTGCACAATGAATGTGGTACGCTTGGGTCATCCTGGGACTCTAACATCCTCCCATCATCACTACCCACCCCTCCACCCCCGTGCCTGTCCATGGAAGGATTATCTTCCATGAAGCTTGTCCCTGGTGCCAAAAAGGTTGGGGACCGCTGGTCTATAGCAAATGCCCATATTTTCTCATGTTAACTCTTTGAACTCAAGGTCAATTCTAAGCAGATAATCTGCAAGTCTGTCTTTTAACACTAGCCCATTTGGCAGCTTGGGGAGCCTATCCATCATCAGTCCTTGTCTGTGAAGGACTCTACCATTCATGAAGTATACTGATACAGCAGATTGGTACATCCATAAAATTATGAGTAATATCAAGAGACTGACCTTGGTTACATCAAGATGAAACACACAAACCACACATAGCTATGCAAGAAAAATCTCATGCAAGCCCCCAGCCTGATTACACCCAACCATATCACCAGTTCATAGTTTCACACAGGCTGAAATGAAGAACAGGAGAGTTGTAGAAGCATAAAACACTTTTCGAATATGAATTCTGCCACTACACTAAACCACAGTTTCAAATTTTCAGTTACTTATTGCTGCCCATTCTCTCTATGGCTCATAGTCAAGTAACTGCAATTTCTTAGGGCCATTACCTTTGAACATAAATTCACTCAGGAAGCATTTATTAAGTACCTATTGGGCACTAGGTAGTGGCAGACAAATAAGAGAAAAATGAGGATATTTCTCCCTGCCTTTAAGGATAACCTCAAAGGGAATATTTGTGTAAACAGAAAATTATAGACCTGTGAACAGGAGCTATGGGAGCACAAAGGAAAAGCAGTCAACTGCAGGCCATGGAGTTGATGAGAACAACACATTAGAACTGACATAGGATTTATTTTGACATTTCCTGGAGTTGTGACCCCAAACACTCTGTCTCCTCCATGTGTTCCCCCAGCTATCAGTGGTATAGAAGCCCCTATTTAGAGCTAGCACTAGGCACAAATATCTAGTAGACAAAGTCTTTTTGCATAACCTCATGTCCTTTCCCAATTGATGTCCCTCAAAGCTCAGGAATGTTCAGTGAGGGTCCTGGTAAGAAATAGCCTTCACCCCCTTAAGGAAGGGACTCTTTACAGAGGTCGGGTCAAGGTTAACAAACAAGCAAGGATGAAGGGCACCCAGAGCTAGCAACTACAGGAAGCCATTATCACCCTGGGGTTGAAGAGACAAGAATTAGCAAGGAGTATTACTGATGTCCCTTTGGAGCTAGAACCATGAAGAAGGGTTGTTCAGGAAAGACCTTATCACAGAGGCACACAGCTGCTGCCTGAGACATTACCTAGAGAGGGGAAGGAGCAAGAAAGACAGATCTCGGACTCTCTTTCCTCCCTGCTCTCCTGTCCTTTCAGTGTCTCCCATTGGGTGAACCCAAACAGAAGGCCTGCAAGAGAGCCTGGGTGATGTGGTCTAGCGGTCAGCCTCCAGGACACAAAGCAGGACAGAGAAAGATGGAGTCTAAGGAGTCAAAAGGAGAATGACCAGCACAAAGTGACCTTCCCTACCCTTTGTAACTTACTTGTTTTATTTCTCATTCCACCAATATCAAAGTGTTCACATCCAGAGGCAAAGTGATATTGTGGATACTGTGGAAAAGCCCTGGACTGAGGTCCAGAAGACCACGATCTACTTCAGACTGCTCGTTATGTGAGTGTCATCAATCTCTCTAGACTAGAGAAAAATCTAGCCTTCGCCTCTAGGTGGGATATTTTCTTAGCCTATCACAAAGGGTTAGTGAGATTGCCACTTGGGATAACATGTTTAAGGAATATTGTTTCATATTATTGGAGAGTTCTTTGAGGATTACACACAGATAACATATTGGCCTTTTAACTTCTAGAAATATCACCCTTTACCTCCCTCCTCCCTTCCTCTTTCATCTTCTGCTCTTATCCTCACCCCCAATCTTTTCCACTTCTGACTTAAATGATGAGACTTTCTGGATTAATTTTTTTTTTTTTTTTTTTGAGACAGACTCTCACTCTGTTGCCCAGACTAGAGTGCCGTGGTGTCAGCCTAGCTCACAGCAACCTCAAACTCCTGGGCTCAAACAATCCTCCTGCCTCAGCCTCCCGAGTAGCTGGGACTACAGGCATGCGTCACCATGCCTGGCTAATTTTTTTTTCTATATATTTTTAGTTGACCAATTAATGACTTCCTACTTTTAGTAGAAAAGGGGTCTCACTCTTGCTCAGGCTGGTTTCAAACTCCTGACTTCGAAGGATCCTCCTGCCTCGGCCTCCCAGAGTGCTAGGATTACAGGCATGAGCCACCGCACCCGGCCTCTGGATTAAATTTTCACAGAAGCAGAGACTATGTCTGTCTTGTTCGCTGTCATATCCCCCAAAGTACCCAGCACGTCATAGGTCATCGGTCAATATTTGTAGAATGAATACACGAGCGATTTGAAACAGTATCTTCCTGTTGTGTTCACCAGTCACCACTTGTGGTGGTGGCCGAGTCTGAGTTCTGAGTATTGCCTGCCAACCCCTAGGAGTGCCAGCCTTCCGCTGCCTAGGGAAGAGAAGCCTGGTGCTTCCAGCCCATAGGCCTTCTCGCATACTTAAAGCAACAGAACGTGTCCACATGGGCTCTGAAACTGTGAAAAACTCTTCCTTCATTCCTAGTGCTCTGGGAGGCCGAGGTGGGAGGATTGCTCGAGGTCAGGAGTTAAAGGCCAGCCTGAGCAAAACAGACCCCATTTCTACCAAAAATAGAAAAAAAACTAGCCAGGCATGGTGGCGCATGCCTGTAGTCCCAGCTACTGGGGAGGCTGGGTCAATAGGATTGCTTGAGCCCAGAAGTGTGAGGTTTCAGACAGTGCACTCTGCCCCAGGCAACTGAGTGAGACCCTGTCTTAAAAAAAAAAAAAAAAAAAAAAGAAAACCTTTTTCTTCAACTCAATTAATATTTCTTACTGCCAGTAAACAAGCCCATAGCCATGGTTTCATCTTTCTTGGATCTTTTGTTATAGGTAAGGCTTGTGGTGAGGAGGAAACGCATAAACAAACCTGAACAATGGATCCGCCCCACTGCTCAATGCCACTGAAACTCTGCCGACATCCTCAGGAGACTGGCTACATAACCATTTATTTTTAGGTTCTTTCTTTTTTTTTTTTTTTTGAAGTCTCCTCCACAACATCCAGAGACTTGCTAAGTTAGAAAAAAAGAGAAACAAAAGTGAAAGAAAGGACATGAGCAGGAAATAAGGAAGGCAACACTTGGATGGAAAGTGAGGAGTCATGGGGCGTCTTTCCAGAATGGCTCCCACCCCCTCAGAAGGTGGATGACATCGAAATGCCACAAACATGAACTGGAAAGGTAGTCCAGGTTGTCCATTACTCCTGAAGTCCTGAGTGTAAGACATACACTTTTCTGCCCGGGACTTCTACATTTTACACCACACATTTTAGGACAAAAAGCTGTTCCTCCTAAGCTGCCTCAGCTTTGGAGTTAGAAGCCAAGAGAACTTGGGATACTCACGGGCATCGCTGTGCTTCACCGTTAATGCAGTGATGACAGGGAGCAGGAGCACCGTCATCCCCACTAAAGTCGTCCTCTTTCTGGATTCTTTAAACTGGATGGGCATCCAGAAACTAGCAGCTATGAGAAGCTACTAACAGTTCCCTGTTGATCTTTTTGAGAACCTATTGGGTAATGTAACTATAGAGCGACACACACGGCCCTCTCCCAATAAGAACAGTGAAAACTGTGTAGTGTCATCAGTTGCTAGGTGGAATAGAGAGAGACAAAATGAAAGCCCTTTCCACGGTCCCTTTTAACCCTCTGTTGGTTTCAGACACTGCTTGTTCCTTTCAGTGTGCCTGTATTCACTCTGTTCCCAACTTTTAAATATTCCTGGAGAGCACTTATGTGCAAGGTACAGGGAAACAAACATTAATAACACCTGACCATTCAGGGAACTCACATTTCTGCCTTTGCTTCTTCCCCTGGAGCTTAGATTTTTGCCCAAGGGTCAATGACAAAGAGTCACACAAAGTTCCCAGGGCTTGGAACTCCCTGCTCTGGCTCCCTACAATGCTATAGTTCTGATACAGCACGTATCATTTAGATTGTCCTGTAATCTTTACCCTAGGTCTGTCTTCCCTGCTGCTGGAGCACCCCGCACAATAAGCTCAAAAAATGTTTATTGAATAAAGGAGGGCGAGAGACAGGCCTAAGAGAAGATTCTGAGGGGCAGCCACTTGCCTTGCTGTATTCGCAATCCCCAGGAGCACATGACAAGTTGGAAAACAGCAGCTGGAGCTTGCCCAGAGATTTGGGGAACAGGCTGGGGCAAAGAAGAGGAAGCAGAGGTGAATGGGAGAGATAAATGGAGGCAAGGCCATGAGGCAGGCAGGCTTGAGTTCAAGTTCAGGGACCTGGGTTTGCATCCCAGCTATTTGACCTTGGGCAGAATCCCAAATTGCACTGAGGCTCAGTTTCTTCAACTTTAAAAGCAGATCCTAGGCCGGGCGCGGTGGCTCACGCCTGTAATCCTAGCTCTTGGGAGGCCGAGGCAGGCGGATTGCTCAAGGTCAGGAGTTCAAAACCAGCCTGAGCAAGAGCGAGACCCCGTCTCTACTATAAATAGAAATAAATTAATTGGCCAACTGATATATATATAAAAAATTAGCTGGGCATGGTGGCTCATGCCTGTAGTCCCAGCTACTCGGGAGGCTGAGGCAGAAGGATTGCTTGAGCCTAGGAGTTTGAGGTTGCTGTGAGCTAGGCTGATGCCACGGCACTCACTCTAGCCTGGACAAAAAAGTGAGACTCTGTCTCAAAAAAAAAAAAAAAAAAAAAGCAGATCCTGCCATACATTTTACAGGGTTGTCAAAGGATTAGATGAGTTTCTGTTTATTACGCACTTGGTAGGTAGTAGAACCATATATATAACGGTATCTTTTTGTGGTAGGCTGGGAATTGCCTGCCCCAAAGATGTGTCCACATCCTAATCCCCAGAACCTGGGAATATGTTACCTTACACGGCAAAAGGGACTTTGCACGTGTGATTAAATTAAGGATCTTGAGAGAGGAAGATTATCATGGATTATCTGGTGGGCCCAGTATAATCACAGGGTCCTTATTGGAGGGAGGCAAAAGGGTCAGAGTAAGGGAAAGAGATGTGATGATGGAAGCAAAGGTCAGAGGGATGCCATGGCCGAAAGGGGAACATGAGCCGAGGAATGCAGACAGCCTCTAGAACCAGAGAAAAGCAGGAGCAGATTCTCCCCTCCAGCCTCCAGAAGGAATGCAACCCTGCCAAGGCTTTGATTTTCGCCTATAAGACACATTTTTGGCTTTCTAGTCTCCAAAACTGTAAGAGAATTAATTTATGTTATTTTAGATCACTAAGTTTGTGGTGATTTGTTATAGCAGCAGTAGGAAACTAATATAACTTCCTTTACTCAAAGGAAAAAAAAAGGAGCCAGATAATGAGATTAATATCTGGTAACTTCTCAGCACCTCCTGGCTCCTTGTCTTCTCAGATCTTTATATTTCTTTCTTCCTTTTCTTCCTCCTTCCTTCCTTTGTTCTTCCCTTTGTTGTTCATTTAACAAACGTGGGCACCCATGTGCCCCTTTCAGAGACTCCTTCCTCCCCCCCTTCCCCTCCATGACCCCCCTAGTCCCAGATATCTCTCACTAGCTTTGGAGTTCCATGGCAGTGTATTTGTTCCTTTTAATTTCTGTTAATATCTTGTTCCAAAAATGCATACTGTACTATAATATGGTGCATTCACATTAAAAAAGGTATTAAGAAAGAAGGTATGGTGACCATGTCTTTCATTTTTAAATCATTTTATTCTAATTGCAAATTAGCAAATTCAATCCAGAATACTTGGAAAACACTCAAAAAAATCAGAGAGTAATAAGATAAAAATCACCCATCAGAGGTTAGTAACCACTGTTAATATATTTCAGTGTATGTCTTTTCAGTGGTTTTGCTATGACAAGTGTGTACATATACAAGCACATCCTTTTTGGTTCATTTTACCAAAAAAGGGTTTCACATTCCAATACTATTTTATAAATTCTTTTCAAATTGATATTTCCCAATATCAAGATGCATCTTTTACAGCATTGCTTTACTAGCTCTTAAAATTTTAAATAAATAGATTCAATCATGACAAAGATCTTCAAGGATGAGTAAAGACTGCCCCACCAAGCTGGGAAGCATTGAGGTGGGGAGTGTCCCTCGTGCTCTCTTTGGGAAGAACAAGCCCTACCTCTGAGGAATTGTTTATCCCTGAAGCTCAGGCTGCACTTTTCAGAGTGGCTTGTGCTTATCTTGTTCGCTAGGAATCCCTTTATCTCTTTAGCTTTTTAGTATTTGATTTATTATATGTATTTTAAGGCCCTTCTGAGGAATCTGATTCATTTGTAAATGGGGTGACTCATCTTCAAAATCCAAAAGGCAAATTATCAAGTTATCAAAAGGGTCCTGTTTGTTAAATAATGTTGTTTTTGACATATTTTACACATTCAATAAGTAGTTTTCTCTTGGCTATTTTTTAAAAATTCAATAAAAGTGTGTGTGTGTGTATACACGTATAATTCTGATCTGAGCCATTTTCTGTTAAGAGGAAAGAACTTGGGATACTCAATCCATTTGCCAATTTTGGGCAAGGTGAGCCCCCCTACAAATGGACAGTAGAATACTGTAGCAAATAACCTGGGTTCAGGAGTCAGACAAACTTGTTTTCAAATGAGGCTCTGACATTTCCTACCTAAGTGACCTTAGGAAAAGTATTAACCTTTCTAAGCCTTGGATTTCTTATGCAGAAAATGGGGGTAATAACAGTATCTGCTCTATGGGGTTGTTGTAAGGATTCAATGAAATCAGCAGTGGTGGAACCATTCTTGGGACTTTGGACCACTATCACTACACACACATAATTGCCATCAGCCCTCTTGAGCAATCCCAAATAAATCTGTAACTTAAGAAAAGACAGTGGGGTCTGCCATGCAACCTCAGTTCAAGCCCCCTAGCCTTGCTGTCCCACCAAATTATATTCTAAAACCTGCCTCCTATGGAAATTCTGAAGTCACTTGTGAGGTTAATGCATATATATCTCCCAGAAAATAACAAGTGTTGGAGAAGGTGCGAAGAGATTGGAACATCTTGTGCACTTTTAATAGGAATGTAAAATGGTGCAGCCACTATGGAGAAAAGTATGACTGTTCTTAAAAAAATTAAAAATAGAATTACTATATAATCCAGCAATTTCACTTCTGGATATATATCCAAGATAATTGAAAGCAGACTTTCAAAAAGATATTTGTACATGCATGTTCATAGCAGCATTATTCATGATAGCCAAAATGTAAAAGTAATCCAAGAGTCCATTTATGGATGAATGTACAAACAAAATGTGGTATGCATACAGAGGAATATTATTCAGCCTTAAAAAGGAAGGAAATTCTGAGATATGCTATATCATGCGTGTACCTTTAGGAGTTTATGCTTAGGGAAATAAATCATTAAAAGATCGATCCTGTATGATTCCACTTATATAAGGTACCCAGAGTAGTCAGATTCATAGGGACAGACAATAAAATGATAGTTGCCAGCAACTGACAGTTGGTGGGGTGGCAGGTGGCCAGGGGTGGGGAGAATAGGGAGCTGTTTAATGGGTATAGAGTTTCAGTTTTACAAAACGAAAAGAGTTGTGGAGATTGGCTGCATAACAAGGCGTACACTTAAAAATGGTTAAGATAGTAAATTTTATGTTATGTGTATTTTACCACAATTAAAACAGTTTTAAATAATAAAAAAAAAGATTTAGAGTAGCTTATAGGATTTCATACTTTGGAAAATGCTTTCTCATATATGATCCAGTTGATTCTCACAATGATCTTGTAAGGGAGCAGGCTGAGTGTCATTATTTCCATTTTAGAGCAGGGGAGATCCCCTCGTAGAGGTGTCATGGCACTCCTACAGCTTCTAGGGGCAGGGGGTGGCTACGTGTTGCAATCCATCTCAGGTCTACCCTGGCATCCTTAGCGATGAGATATGGTTTGATCCTTTCCGATCTTCATCCTCATTGGCTCCATGGCCCTGCTGCCTGTGCCCTCTTCTCTGCTTTGCCATTTCATTCTTTTTCTTTCCTTTTTTTCTCCCCTTGAGACAGAGTCTTGCTCTGTCTCCCCAGGGTAGAGTGCAGTTGCCTCACTGTAGCTCACTGCAACCTCAAACTCCTGGGCTTAAACAATCCTCCTGCCTCAGCCTCCCAAGTAGCTGGGACTACAGGTACACCCCATGATGCCCAACTAATTTTTCTAATTTTGGTAGAGACGGGGTCTCGCTCTTGCTCAGGCTGGTCTTGAACTCCTGAGCTCAAGCACCCACCTTGGCCTTCCAGAGGGCTAGGATTACAGGCGTGAACCACCGCACCTAGCCTTTGCACCTGGCCTCTTTATTTCTGCAAAAGATGCCTTGCAGGACCCTGGCAAGCTCTCTTCATTATTCATTCTCCTAACTTTGAAGACTCACTCAGGAAGCAGAGGTTCTCCTGGATGCCCTCTCAGAACTCTAAGAAAACTCAGAATTGTTATGTCAGCCTCCCCCAGCAAAATGAACAGAAGTTCAGTGTTTTACAGTTTGATGAGTTCTGACAAACGCATACCCCCATGTAACCCATATCTTGTCAAGATACAGAGCATTTCTAATACCCCAGCAAGTTTCCTTTTCTAGTCAATATTCTTTACTCTGAGGAAATTACTATTTTGATTTTTTACTCCATGAGAAATTTTAATTCTTCCTTTTGGGGAGGATAGGGGTAGGAGTGGGCGTGTGGGAAGGTATGGCTTTTTGCTGAGTATTCTTCCTAAGGTATTGTTGGGACCTGGGGTCTATTAAATGAGAAAGAAAGAAAAGAAAGAAAAGGAAAGGAAAGGAAAGGAAAGGAAAGGAAAGGAAAGGAAAGAAAAGAAAAGAAAAGAAAAGAAAAGAAAAGAAAAGAAAAGGAAAGGAAAGAAAAGAAAAGAAAGAGGGATGGAGGGTAGAAAGGAAAGGCTAGGAAGAAAGAAAAAACTTCCTTGCATTGTACCTGAAGCCTCCTTTCCCAGGGGCATTGGAGGCCAAGGTTTGACAGAGGGTGACATATCAAAGAAAGGAACACCCACACACCCACAGACATTTCATATCTCAACCCTCCACTATCTCCATTATTGGTGCTTTTTCTAAACCCTTAATTATGGAAATTCTTCAAGTCTCTGTACTCCAGGTTTCTACTTATGAAACTCTGGCCTTGCACTGTGGTTCAATTAATAAATTAATAGAACAGACAATAAGAGGCCTTGTTAGGCACTTAGATGGTAGTAACATTAACACAGTTCCCTATCCCTCCAGGAG